CGCTGTCACGGATCTGAGAAGTGCTACGGACCTCGCCCTTCGCGCCACTAAGGCCGCCGCACAAGCTCTGGGGAAATGCATGGCCAGCCTCTGTGTTGCCGAGAGACACTTATGGCTCACGCTCGCCGACATGGGAGACTCTGAGCGCGCCGCGTTTCTTAACGCGCCCCTGGGCCTGTTTGGATCTGCTGTCACGGGAATCGTCGATCGCTTTTCTGAGGTACAGAAAGCTACTCAGGCGATAAATTTGTTTCTGCCCCGCCGCGCTAGCTCTTCCACGGGCCGCTCTCGCGAGCCTCCCGCCAGAGCTCCACCGCAGCGCCCCCCTCCGCAGACCCAAACAACCCAGCGCAGACAGGGCGGCCGCCCTCGCTCTCGCTCTGACAGCCGCCGCAGACCGCCGCCCCCACGAGGCCCGCGACCTAAGATCACGCTGATGCCTGATCGTCAGAAGTCTGCCTAGCAAAGTCAAGAAAACGACGGTGCTCTCCCGCCGCGGCCGGACCGCCGTCAAAGCTTCGCCCTCTGCCAGTCCCCGTTATTTCGCCGACTGCTGTAGTGTTGACCGCCACAAACAAGTCGGTGTCCCAGCCCGCTTGCGAGCGTCAAAAAGCCGTTTTTATGGCTACCCAGAGAAATCTCAAAAAGAGAAAATTTGCCAGTTGTGTAGAAAATGTGCCCACAATCATGTGCTCACTCATACACACAAGCATAACATATCCCGTGTCTCTATCAGAGCCCCATCACATGAAACGGGCACAGCCCGCTCTAATATCAGAGAACATAAACACGCCCGCGAGCTCGTGCGCGTGTCCCCTCTCTGCTCGCTCTGTTTCACGGCCCATAGACTCCTCTCTGAGTGCAAATCCCGTTGCCACACACATTCAAAGCGCGCCCACACACTGTGTCCAGCCCGCTATGTGCAGCAATCAGGGCAATATAGCCATTCGGCCTCTAGCCGCATGCTCCAAAGCGTGGGAAACCATTCCAGGCATTTCCCCGTGGGTGTTAAGCATTATAAAGAACGGCTATCTGCTGCAGTTTCGCCGCCGCCCGCCTCGTGCGCGCGCGCAGCTCGAATCTACTGTCAGCCCGCTGGCCGCCGGCACGCTCCGCTCAGAAATTGCGTCGCTGTTGCAAAAGGGCGCTATAGAGAGAGTCCCGCCATCTATGACCGAGTCGGGGTTTTACGGCCGTTATTTTCTGATTCCCAAGAAAGACGGCGGCCTCAGACCGATTTTAGATCTCAGGTCTTTGAACAGAGCGCTCATGAAGAGACCGTTCAAGATGCTCACTACCAGGAAATTCCTCGCGCAAGTGCGCCAGGGGGACTGGTTCATCTCTCTAGACCTGAAAGACGCCTATTTTCAGATCCAGATAAATCCCCGTCACAGGCCATTCTTACGTTTCGCCTTCGAGGGTCTTGTTTATCAATACGCCGTTCTCCCGTTCGGCTTATCTCTGGCGCCCCGTACATTCACGAAGTGCATGGATACGGCGCTCGCCCCCCTGCGAAGCCAGGGGCTGCGCATTCTGAATTATCTGGACGACTGGCTGATTTTGGCCCAATCACAGACGGAGCTTCTGTCGCACCGCGCAGTTCTCCTCGACCATCTGGAAACGCTGGGCCTCTCTGTCAACTGGACAAAGAGCTCCCTTCTTCCCAGTCAATCGATTTCCTTCCTAGGAATAGATTTGAACTCGGTCACGATGACGGCTCGCCTGTCTACACAGCGCGCGCGCAGTGTTCAGCGTCTAGCCGCCTCGTTTCGGATGGACACCCGCAGACCTCTGAAAACTTTTCAGAGGATGCTGGGTTACATGGCCTCAGCCTCCGCTGTACTTCAGCTGGGCCTTCTGCACATGCGCCCGCTTCAGCTCTGGTTAAACAGCCGTGTACCCCACCGCGCGTGGAACACGGGCCGCCAGCTGATCAGGGTTACGCAGACATGTCTCACGGCGCTGCAGCCATGGACAGTAGCAGAATGGTTTCGACAAGGCGTCACGATGGGGACCTTTTCCCGCCGAAAAGTCATCTCGACAGATGCATCCAACACGGGTTGGGGTGCAGTCTGCGAGGGCTCACCGGCCTTCGGCCATTGGTCGACTCAGGAAAGCCCCTTACACATAAACTGTCTGGAAATGCTTGCGGTCGAGAACGCGCTCTCGCGCTTTCTCCCGCTCATTCGGGGACACCACGTCCTGATCCGTTCGGACAACATGGCTGTGGTCTCCTATCTCAACCGTCAGGGCGGTGTCAGATCCAGAAATCTCTGTCTACTGACACACCGCATTCTAGTTTGGTCTCAGAGCCGCCTGCTCTCGCTCAGAGCGACGCATGTGCCGGGCCATCTGAACGACGGTCCAGACATATTGTCCAGGAACCTCATCTCCACAGGAGAATGGTCCCTGAACGCACAAACGGTCCAATTACTGTGGCGGCTATTCGGCAGAGCAGAAGTAGACCTCTTCGCGTCAGAAGAGAACGCTCACTGCCCAATATATTTTTCGAGGAGCGAGGACGCGCTAGCCCAGGAATGGCCTCGCCGCCCGCTCTATGCATTTCCCCCGTTCGCTCTATTACCTCAGGTAATTCAGAGGATCAGGGACACACGCCACTCGGTGCTCCTCATAGCTCCGCGTTGGGAGAGTCAGAATTGGGTTCCGGAGCTCACGCAGCTGTCGCAGACAGCCCCGTGGCCCATCCCAGTCAGAGCAGATCTCCTCTCTCAAGCTCGCGGCACGATCTGGCACCCCCATCCACAGCGCTGGGCGCTACATGCATGGGTGATCAACGACTATTCGTCGATTTGCCAGAAGGAGTAAGAAACACTATCATACAGGCTAGAGCACCTTCCACGAGAAGGCTCTATGCGTCTAAATGGTCTGTGTTCTCAAAATGGTGCACCGACAAACAGCTGGACCCACGGTCGTGCGAGGTGCCGTCTTTGCTCGTTTTCCTCCAAGAGATGCTGGACAAGGGCAGGTCCCCCTCCACTCTCAAGGTTTATGTGGCAGCCGTCGCGGCGTTCGCTGAACCCCGACGCGCTCAGCCCCTGGGCAAAGACGAGTTAGTCATCCGCTTCCTCAGGGGAGCTAAGAGGATGAACCCTCCGCGGCCCCCGTCGGTTCCGATTTGGGATCTTTCTATAGTCCTCGAAGCTATGAAAGCATCCCCGTTCGAACCGCTCGAGTCTGTGGACCTAAAATACCTCTCGCTCAAAACCGTTTTCCTGACGGCTCTGTCCTCAGTAAAACGCGTAGGAGATCTTCACGCGCTCTCATCCAGCGCCGCGTGTCTTGAGTTTGGGCCGAATGATTCTGTTGTCATTCTCAAACCTAGGCATGGCTATGTCCCGAAAGCGATTGGTACCCCGTTCAGGGCCCAGATTATTTCCCTATCGGCTCTGCCTTCATCCGATAGTGAGCGCGACGCCAATCTCCTCTGCCCGGTGCGGGCTCTGAGATTGTACACTACGCGCGCTGCCGCGTTCAGATGCGCTGAGCAGCTTTTCGTGTCGTTTGGGGGGCGCACCAAAGGTCTGGCCGCCTCTAAACAGACACTGTCTAGATGGATAGTGGACGCTATTGCCTCTGCTTACGCATCTAAATGCCTGCCCTGCCCTCTGGGCATCAGGGCGCACTCCACTAGAGGCATGGCCTCATCGTGGGCATGGTCCTGTGGAATTTCCATTCATGACATTTGTGTGGCCGCGGGATGGGCCTCCCCGTCCACTTTTGTCAGATTTTACAACTTGGAAGTTCCCGCCTTGCAGGCAAAATTACTAGCTGTCTAACGACCAGCTCTCTAAGAAGCTGCATTACTGAGAGTCCCTCACAACCGGTTCGCCCCTTGTGCTCTCTTTAAAATGCTTATACACTTCATGTGCCCGCTCTGCTGGCCCCATACATGCTTAGGTGTACTCTCCTTGTGCCCGCTCTGCCGGCCTCAGTATACATTCACTCCACGTTCAAAATTCCCCGGTATATCCCTGGGATTCATGAGTGGATTCATAGCGCGCACGGCGTTGACCAGGTGTTCCCGCAGCGTAAGCTAGCTTACGCAATACGAGAGAACCTCTCGTAAGAGAACGAATCGGTTACCTAACGTAACCTCGGTTCTCTCTAGAGAGAGAACGAGTATTGCGTTCCCTGCCGTGCTTGCGCTACTAGCGTTTCGCTTCACGCTGAAATAAATCAACATGTAAGCCTGGGAGAGACTGTTATATACACCATGGCCACGCCCATTCTGGCGGGCCATGACGCAATGAGCGCGCGGGCGCCTCTCATTGGAAGCGGGTTCAGCCCCACTCTCCCATAGGCTTAAGCAGTTCTCTCTGAGCGAACCAATGAGCTGCTAGCTAGCCCGCTCTAGGTCTGCCGCAGAGGAACTGCGTTGTGTATGGATACAAATTATGGAATAATTTTTTGGCTTCAATATCTCAGCAAAGATGAATCTTTCCCGCAGCGTAAGCTAGCTTACGCAATACTCGTTCCCTCTAGAGAGAACCGAGGTTACGTTAGGTAACCGATTCGTTTTTTTCTAAAACCACTTTATTTATGTTGTTCTGTCGGATTATAGTGTGTCGATTTCATTGAATATGATCAAAAAAATGTTGCCGACGGCAGCTTTAAATATGAGCAAATGCTAAATGTTGAAAAAAGGTATTGGCTTTGCCAGCATAGGGGATAATGGAAATTTTAGCTTTTAAAAATGTTTAGAAAATATTTTTTTGTAATGTTTTACAATTTTTTTTTTTTTTTTTTAGATTCTTTTTTTTATTAATATTAAATACTGCCTTGATGAACATAAGCATATAGTATGTGTGTGCATTCTCCGTCTGCTTTGGACTAGCTAAAAAAATCTAAATAAAATGACTGACTCACATGAGTCACATGATGTTTATTACACAAGACTCAGTGATCTTCTGTAAATCTCTTTACTGACAGTGTTATAAAAGTGATAACTGACAAAGAAACTCTTCTGGTTTGTTCTTCAGTTGTGACTGATCCTAGATCTGATGGAGTGACGGTTGTGTCAGTGACAGAGGGAGATTCTGTTGTTCTACATGCTGATGTTACTAAAATACTGAAAGATGACGAGATACTGTGGAGGTTTAGAGATAAATATGATATTGCTATAATGAAAAAAGATGAAGACATCTTCTCTACATATGATTATATTGCTGATGGGATATTCAGACGCAGACTGCAGCTGAATCATCAGACTGGAAATCTCATTATCAGTGACATCACATACAACACCTCTGGACTTTATGAAGTTGATATCAAGAGGAGAACATACACCATACACAAGGCATTCAATGTGACTGTTACAGGTGAGTCACTTCAGTATTTAAATGTAATAATGGTTGTATTCAAATTAGCACTGTAAAATATTTACATAATTTGATGTTTACACGAAAACATTGAGACAAAAATCTGTATCTTAAACTGTTACTTTAGTATTAGTACAAGGCATTTGGTGCAAAATAAAATATGTGTATAGGATTTATTATTATGGTTGTCTGTGAATGTTCTCATGAATTTTATTCTTGTATGTTTTATCCTGAGACAGACAAACTGAACAGAGTGTCAGTGAAAGAGGGAGTTACTGTCATTCTCGAATCTGGTGTTACTGAATTAGACAGAGATGATCTGGTGCAATGGAGATTTGAACATGAAGACGTCTTAGCAGAAATCAATAAAACGGCTGGAATCTCCTCCTCATATGATGATGTTCCTGATGGGAGATTCAGAGAAAGACTGAAACTGGACAATCAGACTGGATCTCTGACCATCACACACACCAGAACTGAAGACTCTGGACTCTATCACCTTGAAATCACCAGCGACAGACACATCATATTCAGGAAATTCGTTCTTTCTGTCTGTGGTGAGTAAATCAAGTGTTGTGTAAAAAAAAAAATATATATATATATATAGACAGGTGCATATATTTAGAATATCATCAAAAAGTTGATTTATTTCAGTAATTCCATTCAAAAAGGGAAATTTGGATATTATATTCATGCATTACACACAGACTGATATATTTCAAGTGTTCATTCTTTTTAATTTTGATGATTATAACTGACAACTAATGAAAATCCCAAATTCAGTATCTCAGAAAATTGGAATATTGTGAAAAGGTTCAATATTGAAGACACCTGGTGCCACACTCTCATCAGCTAATTAACTCGAAACACCTGCAAAGGCCTTTAAATGGTCTCTCAGTCTAGTTCTGTAGGCTACACAATCATGGGGAAGACTGCTGACTTGACAGCTGTCCAAAAGACGACCATTGACATCTTGCTCAAGGAGGGCAAGACACAAAAGGTCATTGCTAAAGAGGCTGGCTGTTCACAGAGCTCTGTGTCCAAGCACATTAATAGAGAGGCGAAGGGAAGAAAAATATGTGCTAGAAAAAAGTATACAAGCATTAGGGATAACAGCTTGGAGAGGATTGTGAAACAAAACCCATTCAAAAATGTGGGGGACATTCACAAAGAGTGGACTGGAGTCAGTGCTTCAAGAACCACCACACACAGACGTATGCAAGACATGGGTTTCAGCTGTCGCATTCCTTGTGTCCGGCCACTCTCGAACAAGACAGCGTCAGAAGCGTCTCGCCCGGGCTAAAGACAAAAAGGATTGGACTGCTGCTGAACGGTCCAAAGTTATGTTCTCTGATGAAAGTAAATTTGGCATTTCCTTTGGAAATCAAGGTCCCAGAGTCTGGAGGAAGAGAGGTGAAGCACAGATTCCACGTTGCTTGATGTCCAGTGTAAAGTTTCCACAGTCAGTGATGGTTTGGGGTGCCATGTCATCTGCTGGTGTTGGTCCACTGTGTTTTCTGAGGTCCCAGGTCAACGCAGCCGTCTACCAGGAAGTTTTAGAGCACTTCATGCTTCCTTTTGCTGACCAACTTTATAAAGATGCAGATTTCATTTTCCAACAGGACTTGGCACCTGCACACAGTGCCAAAGCTACCAGTACCTGGTTTAAGGACCATGGTATCCCTGTTCTTAATTGGCCAGCAAACTCGCCTGACCTAAACCCGATAGAAAATCTATGTGGTATTGTGAAGAGGAATATGCGATACGCCAGACCCAACAATGCAGAAGAGCTGAAGGCCACTATCAGAGCAACCGGTGCTCTCATAACACCTGAGCAGTGCCACAGACTGATCGACTCCATGCCACGCCGCATTGCTGCAGTAATTCAGGCAAAAGGAGCCCCAACTACCGTAAATCCTAAAATAAAAACCGGTAGTCAATTAAAAGCTGGGCCTCTGATAGTGGCCGGGGGCAGGGTCAACACATACAAATAAAGGCCGGTCTCAAATTAAGGCCGGGGGAAATTTAGTGTTGATGATAGGTAGTGATGGGCAGATCAAGGCTTTGTGAAGCAATGAAACAGTTGAACCAAATGGGCCATACTGTTTCGAGGCTTCGAATCAATCCGACACCCGTCTCCACTGTGACTGATGTCTCTGATGTTTATCATGTTTGATATATAAGACACATCACACTAATGATATTCTCTTTCACTTTTTGAATGTAATTACTGAAATAAATCAACTTTTGGATGATATTCTAATTATATGACCAGCACCTGTGAATATAGGCTCTCTCTAGGCCTATACACTCACCTAAAGGATTATTAGGAACACCATACTAATACTGTGTTTGACCCCCTTTCGCCTTAAGAACTGCCTTAATTCTACGTGGCATTGATTCAACAAGGTGCTGAAAGCATTCTTTAGAAATGTTGGCCCATATTGATAGGATAGCATCTTGCAGTTGATGGAGATTTGTGGGATGCACATCCAGGGCACGAAGCTCCCGTTCCACCACATCCCAAAGATGCTCTATTGGGTTGAGATCTGGTGACTGTGGGGGCCATTTTAGTACAGTGAACTCATTGTCATGTTCAAGAAACCAATTTGAAATGATTCGAGCTTTGTGACATGGTGCATTATCCTGCTGGAAGTAGCCATCAGAGGATGGGTACATGGTGGCCGTAAAGGGATGGACATGGCCAGAAACAATGTTTAGGTAGGCCGTGGCATTTAAACGATGCCCGATTGGCACTAAGGGGCCTAAAGTGTGCCAAGAAAACATCCCCCACACCATTACACCACCACCACCAGCCTGCACAGTGGTAACAAGGCATGATGGATCCATGTTCTCATTCTGTTTACGCCAAATTCTGACTCTACCATCTGAATGTCTCAACAGAAATCGAGACTCATCAGACCAGGCAACATTTTTCCAGTCTTCAACTGTCCAATTTTGGTGAGCTCTTGCAAATTGTAACCTCTTTTTCCTATTTGTAGTGGAGATGAGTGGTACCCGGTGGGGTCTTCTGCTGTTGTAGCCCATCCGCCTCAAGGTTGTGCGTGTTGTGGCTTCACAAATGCTTTGCTGCATACCTCGGTTGTAACGAGTGGTTATTTCAGTCAAAGTTGCTCTTCTATCAGCTTGAATCAGTCGGCCCATTCTCCTCTGACCTCTAGCATCAACAAGGCATTTTCGCCCACAGGACTGCCGCATACTGGATGTTTTTCCCTTTTCACACCATTCTTTGTAAACCCTAGAAATGGTTGCGTGTGAAAATCCCAGTAACTGAGCAGATTGTGAAATACTCAGACTGGCCCGTCTGGCACCAACAACCATGCCACGCTCAAAATTGCTTAAATCACCTTTCTTTCCCATTCTGACATTCAGTTTGGAGTTCAGGAGATTGTCTTGACCAGGACCACACCCCTAAATGCATTGAAGCAACTGCAATGTGATTGGTTGATTAGATATTTGCATTAATGAGAAATTGAACAGGTGTTCCTAATAATCCTTTAGGTGAGTGTATAAGGAGTTGTTAATTTAAGCAGCAACTCAATAAGGAGACCAAACTAATAAGCTTAGGTAGAGAGAAAGGCCAAACTAAAAAACACATGTAGCTCTGAGGGATAATAAAGATATTCTGACGCGAAGTGATGCGTTTGTTTGAGAAAAATATTCATATTTAATGATTAATAATAATGGTAATCACCATGCAATCTTTAATACATTTATTTAAACATTAACAAGCATATTATCTCATAGCTATTTGAATATATAAGCATTATAATGTTAGTTAATTATTTATTAATGAAGCTTTGTATCCTTGTAAAGAATCTGTCTCAGGTTATATAGTGCTGATGTTTATAGTGTGTGTTATAGATCAGACATATTCACACTAATGTCTGTCTTTATCATTACAGTATCAGATCTTCTCTGATGTTTATAATGTTTGATATATAAGACACATCACACTAACTAATGATATTCTCTCTATATCATTACAGGTCCAGATGATGTATTTTTGCTTTTTACTTTTGCTTCTGTTGCTGTTGGTGTTGGTGTTCTGCTGGTGATTGTGGCTGCTTGTGTGTTTGTCCGTTGCTGCTACAAGAGGGCTACAGTAGTAGAAACTCACTGGGGTAAGTATCACACACAGTTCAAATAATATGAAAACATAAAAGTCTGATTCCCTTTAACCCCTTACTCGTCAAAGATCACTGGTGACCCCAGATCATCGCTGTTCTACCTATCTATTACTCATTTAAACATCACACACTTACTTGATCTGGACAAACTCAGCACCATAAGAAAGATTTAAGACTCCATGCAACTTCGATATTTGACCACTGTTTATGATTAAACTGGTTTGAAGTGACATTAATTTCTTAATTTATGCCAGGAGTGCAAAATAACAATTCTGTAACGTTCTAGCCTGGCTGCCATCCCGAACCCTGCCTACAACAATTTTTGGTCGGGAAGTTCGGTCTGGACTCGATCCATTGAGGAGTAATTATGATCAGTCAAAAAATGTTCGGACCAATCAAATTGCCAGGGCGGGCTTTATACGATGATTGACAGATGAGGTGCAGTTACGTAATCCTCACGTCACCAAAGAACGCTTGGGTTGAATTCGTTTACAACAAAGTTCTGCCGCTGGAGAATTGAGATTTCACGAGTTCACACTTACAAATAAGTCAGATAGAATAAATGTGTATATGACGTGCTGTCCGAGGAGAGGGCTCCGTGATCGGTATTCGGCCCGAACCCAGAGTACTCCCCCGTATTCCTGGCTGTGAAAGAACAAGCCAAGAGTGAGGATTCGGGGTGGTGGAGGGATGCTGAAAACTGTCGAGGAGTGTTAGGTGAGTTAGAGTGAATATACTTCCTCTCATGCTGATAGGGTAACGTTAGACATGGTATTGTTTGATGACAAGTTGATTGATTGGATTGATTATTTGAACGTGCTCCTCCCGAACATTGTTTATGAAATAACAATAATGATGTGTAGATTATGCCATCGCGTCTGTTATAGAAGATATCGACAGCGCATTGCTTTTAAAAGACGAACAGAGAACCGCGATCAAGGGATTTGTCGGTCGGAAAGATGAATGAAGAACATGCGCGTCATTTACTCCGTTGCTCTGATTGGTTGTAGGTCTATCAAATTGAAATGCAGAGGCATTTTCTTTCCTGGTTCGGTTGAAACACGCCCCATAATCACAGCCCAATGGAGCAGTATCAGACTCTTTTTTTTTATTTCTTTTTTTTTTCTTTTTTTTTTTTTTAATTATTGACAGCATTTGCAGTTACAAATAACACATACAAATACATACATAAATAAACTATACATAAATAAAATAACATACATAAATAAATCATATCCAGTGGGGTCTGCAAAGTCCAGCAAGGCTAATCAACAAGCAGTCCAATTCATATAGCACCACTTACAGTTATGAGTTCCAATTTCATTCAGTCACGTGATGTCACAAGTTTAGAATATATCTGCACAGTCTTCAGAGCTTTACAGTTCTTTGAATATCTTATGGAGTCCAAGTATTCATTGACTTCACTC